CCTTCCTGCTAACAGCAGCACCTTTCCTCGAGCTGAGTGGAGAAAGAGGCACTCAGAGCACATGGCTGTCTTCTCATCCTTGTCTGTGGGGACAGTGGAGCGGTGCTAAAGCAGGCACTCAAGGCGTCATGGGATCTTGTGGCATATTCTTTAAATTTTATTTCTCAAGTCTTCCCTCTGATCTCTTGATCAGGCTGAGCCTATTCTTTTATAAATTAGTTTTATTCCCCATGATACCTTCTTAAGGGCTCTTCCTGTAATGTCATTTTTTTTTCTATAATTTGGACTGCTATTCTGAAGCTCATTTCCTTGAAGCTTTGCCTCACTCCTAAATGGACCTCAGAATACTTCTTCTTGCCTTTCTCCCTCCACTCCCCTCCTTCCACCAAACCAGCAGAGGCAAATGGCAAATAGTCACAGTCTGCAAACTGCTATATCAGTGAGTTATAACCTGCAGGAACAGGTGGCAGCCTGAGTCCTTGTTTCAACTTCCTCTTTCTCTGGATCATGTAGGGAAACCGATGGAATTCTGAAACCTCTTCCTAAGAAAAGCATTGACACAGGGATGGGCCTGGAGCGACTGGTGTCTGTGCTGCAGAATAAGATGTCCAACTATGACACTGACCTTTTTGTCCCTTACTTTGAAGCCATTCAGAAGGTACTGGTCCTTTTGCAAACATTGCAAATTTCTGTGGAAGTCTCCAGGCTGGACTCTTAGCAGTGCTGTCAAAGAGAATAACCAGATGCTTTGTCAGCCGAGGGTACATGTGACCATCTGCCAACTTTATTGTTCGATCTCTGACTGTGAACAATTGAGATAACTCACTACCTTCGGACCAGCCCCAACTTTATTGTTAATCTGAGGCTCTAGGCACAAGGCACTGTGATTTGTTGAGTGCAAGGGGCTGATTGGAGGCTCTTTACTCCCACTATTCTCACCTTTCTTGGGGTTCTAAGATCTGGCAAGAGGGTCATCCTTTCTCCTAATGCCCCCTCAGTCCTCTCAGAACCTCCTAGGGCAAGGCAGTGCCAGAAAGGCTGCTTCCTGATAAGATGCCTCCTGGATTTTATCTGCAGGGCACAGGTGCTCGGCCATACACTGGGAAAGTTGGTGCTGACGATGCTGACGGGATCGATATGGCCTACCGGGTGCTGGCTGACCATGCTCGGACCATCACTGTAGCACTGGCTGATGGCGGCCGACCTGACAACACAGGGCGAGGGTAAGTATGTTGTACATGGATGGGGCAGTATTAGGACTGACACCGTGAGTTTTAAGACTGTAGAACTTAAAGCTATACTTTATTATTATTTTCTCTGTCTTTTAAGTAGTTGGAGGGAACCTTTATTTTTTTAGGGATGAACGGAGTTTCAGCGCACACTAGAGTTGTCAC